CATGTTACTACCAGTGATAAACGGAGGCTAATCCACAAGTAGTATTGTCATGACAAACGCAGAAATCGTAAATGCGAGTTCTGTCATAGGCGGGCTGGTATATATCAGTGTCTTGCAGCTTTTTATCCTAAGTAACCTAGGAACAAAGGATACAAATTCTGAAAAAGTCTTACTTTGTTGAAAAATACAGCATTACATGCTTGTTTTACAGCTCGATCCATATCCGTGTCCGCAAAGATGATCAATGGTGATTTGCCGCCAAGCTCCAAGGAAACTTTCTTGACGTTCGAAACTGCACCTCTAAAGTGAAAACTATGGCAAGCCTTCACACGTCTTTCAAAACTGACATAACAAATTTCAAATACAAAGGACAGTAGTGCACTCCACTTTTTCGCAGGAAATAAAAAGCAGTGTAAAAACTTTAACCTGCTCATGACCTGTTTCCCAACATTGGTCGATCCAGTAAAGCCAACTTTCCGAACTTCAGGATGTTCACATAAGGCACGTCCAACTTCGGGGCCTGATCCAGTAACAATATTGATGACGCCCGGGGGAATTCCTGCTCGTGCCGACAATTCCGCAAATTTCAGCGCCGTTAATGGCGTCACCAGAAAGTTAAAATCAAGATTACTATGTAGCATTTTTATTGTTCTTTGCCACGTCTGACATAAAAATTCAAAGGCTTGATTTTTGAACTTTCCATTCGAATTTTCTTACTTCCTGGGGGCTGCAGACCAGGAGAAATGGAGTGTGCGAAAGTAATGAGAACTGCTCAGACATGTCTGTCATTTCATAATTCCCTTTTCCATTCTTTTTTTGTGTGTTCTGCTATCCCTGTACGCTTCTTCTGTCAATTTTTTGAGAAAAGTGAAGGAAGTGCCTACGACGGTGCCAACATAAAGCAAAAAAGTAAAATCAGAAGGCTTATTTAATGAGTGAAGCTAAGATACCTCTGCAGGTTTTAACACAACGGTATTGCCAGCAGCAAGACACGGAGACATTTTCCA